CCTCTCTTTATGAAACTCTGTGCCCTCAGCTCACCTTTTCTTTTTTTAAAGATATATTTATTTATTTGAAAGGCAGAGTTATAGAGAGGCAGAGAGAGAGAGAGGGAGGGAGGGAAGGAGGGAGGGAGGGAGGGAGGAGAGGTCTAACATCAACTGGTTCACTCCCCAAATGGCTGCAATGGCCAGAGCTGGGCTGATCCAAAGTGAGGAGCCAGGAGCTTCTTCCAGGTCTCCCACGTGTGTGCAGAGCCCAAGGACTTGGGCCATCTTCTGTTGATTTCCCAGGCATAGCAGAGAGCTGGATCGGAAGTGGAGCAGCCAGGATGTGAACCGGCACCCACATATGCTTGCACTGCAGGTGGTAACTTTACCCACTACGCCACAGCACTGGCCCCGCAGCTCACTCTGATACCAGAGCCAGCCCCGTGCCAGGCCCAGGAGGGGAGGCTCCCATAGGGACTCTGACACAAACCCCACCCCCGCACAACAGGAGGGTGTGGGTGTCGGGCACCCTAGTGATGATGACTCCTTGCGGACAACAAGGACTGGAAGCATACAGTCTCTGTATGATCTGCCTGTTGGTAACCCTGTCGTCAGTCTAGGCCCTGGAATGCCTCAGTGAGAGCCCACCCCATCCCCCTCGTCCTGCCTTGGCCACCAGTTCTTCTGCAGCTGGCTCCAGTGTGAACCCAGTGGCCATTTCCTCCTCCCAGGGGAGCAGCGGGAGGATGTGGGGAGCAGCGGGAGGATGTGGAGGGAGGACCAGCAAGAGGCTGCTGTAGAACGTGCTGGGGACGTGGCGGCGCTGGCCACTGCCCGCCTGGTGGCAGCCCCAGGATCTGACTCAGTGGCTCCTCTGTGCAGTGCTGTGTTTTCCACGTGGACGGTTAGAGGAACGTGATTTGGAGCACACAGCGGTCAGAATTAATCACACGCGTGGAAAGGACTGTGCGTTGGCGCCAGCTTCCGACGGCCTGGCCGCCGTGGGGGTCTTCCGGGAGGGCGTGTCACCACTGCCCAGGTTCCGTTTTCCAGGGCTGACCTCATTGAGCCCAGGCGCAGTCAGGGTTGGGCGTTTCTGAGGCCCCTGAGCACGGAGCCGGCAGCCGGTGGGGCAGCCTCCTGGCCCCAAGAAGCTTCCAGTGAGCTGCAGCCAGTGTTGACTTTTGCAGTCACCACGGTATGCGTGCCGGTGGGGTATAAGACCAACTTGGTTTTGTGCCAGTTAGGGAATGTTTTTCCCATTGACAGTGTGTTTGTAATAAACGTTCTCCTCTGTCAGAGTGAGCGTCCCAATGAATCACAAGCTGTTTGTCTAAGTCATCTGCCGCTCAGGCCTTCTTTTGGTTCTGGGCCTGCTGATTGCAAGGTGCCTGTGGGATGCCAAGGAAGGTGTGGTCAGGGGGTAGCTGGACCCCTGGCCTGCAGCTTAGGACAGAAACACAGGCTGGATGTAGGTACGTGGGTGGAACCACGGCCCGGGAGAAATACGGATGTAGAAGATGACCCTGGGCAGATTTTGGTGGGGGTTGGGAGGATGTGCCGGAAAAGCAAAGAACAGCTGAACAGTGAGACCAAGAGCGAGGGCCTGGGAGGTGGGCAGACAGCCAGGACGCAGCGTGCAGAGGCCGGGACAGAGGCACAGACTCAGCCTAGGTGCGGGTGGGCGGCCCCGGGCTGCTGGCTTCCTCGTCGGGAAGTGGTGGGCAGAGGAAAGAGCGGCTTCGGGGCAGGGAAGGTCGGGGAGGGAGGTGAGCTCTTGAGCTTCACCTTGGAGGAGAAGTGGCGCGTGCAGCCGGCGGAGACGGGCGTGCGCGGTGTTTGATCAAGGCGTCAGTGGTCACCGTCGTTACTGGGAGAGGAAGACTCTGGAGATGTGGGGTCAGAAGAGGCTCTGGAGCAGAGGCCGAGGCGTGGGAAGGGGCCCCGGGGCAGGCGGGCCCTGGAGGCAGGAGGGTCTGCCTTCCATTAAAGCCGGAGGGGAGGCACAGGATGCGGGAGATTCATCAGTGTGGTGGCAGGAAGTGTTCTTCTCACGGCTTCTGTTTTCCCCGGCAAGCCCGGGAACGTCCACGTGACAGGGAGAGGCGAAGAGGCCGGCAGAGGACTGTGCAGGCTCCGATCTCTCTGCACGTCCAGGACCTCAGCCCGGAGCTCAGGGCCAAGGCTGGCCTGGGCAAGACAGGGCCCCGGCTCCCTAGGGAAGCTCACAGGCTCACCCAGGGAACAGAGCCACTGGGCTGCGTGGGTCTCAGCCCAAAGCCCGGTCTCCCTTCTCTGGTCCATTTTAACTTAATTGCAGTCAGATCCGTTCTGTAGTGTGGACCTTTTGCAGGCATTAGTGACTGGAAGAGTTTTGTTCTATTACTTCACATTTTCCAAACCCACTCCACACAGATGGAATCTCTTGTAATCCTGTAAGGCCAAACACAGAAGCGGAACAGCGCCAAGAGGCTGGGCCCAGAGCTCGGTTCCTGCAGAGAGGACGGGCTTGTTTCTCCTGGCATCGCGAGAATCCTTTCTGTGCGGAGCGTGGGCGGCTGCAGCGCCGAGGGACGCTCCTACTGCACCCATTCAGCCGGTGCTGCCAGGCACCTGCCCCCCCGCCTGCTGCCGCGGCCTCCTGGCCTCCTGTCCTCGGTGATGGAGCCCAGAGAGGGAACTGGCCTGGGACTTGTCAGCAAGCCGTGACAGGGGCGCGGATTCAAAGCGAGCGCTTTTGGTGCCAAGTCCTTTGCTCCCTCGGTTTAATCAAGGCACCTCGCAAACATAATATTTCACTCCGCTGAGCTCTTAATTTTAACTGTGACGTGTTTTCCATCGCAGGAGCTCCCCTAGGGAGTTGTCAGAACCCGACAACTACACCTTGAAGTTTTTGAGTCAGAGTCTTAGAAGTGTTCAAATCAAATAAACCCAGGGCAGATGTTTTAAGTATGACCAGCTTTCATTCCTGCCCGCATGACATCAGCGAGGTGGACGAGAAGCAGTCATCGGTTCTGTTGATGATTCAAGATGGCAGCTAGGTGTGGGAAAAGAGAGGCCGCATGCACTGTCTTTGATGGCCTTCATCACCCACCTGCCACGCTGGGCGCTCTGCCCGCTTCCCCGACTATCAGACCCACTCTCAGTGGGAAGTGGGAGTTCCGAGAAGATAAGCTCCTGCAGCCCACCGTGGGCAGCCACGGTCTGAGCCAGGCTGCGAACCTGTGGGGTTCTCCCCGCCTCGCCGTCCCTGAAGAGGGCTTTCCTGAGCCACTGAGGTGTGGCGCTGACACCCCAGACACACCGCTAATGGCCCTGCTGCCTGTTAAACGTCTCAGGAGAAACACAGACTGGGCCACACTCATGCCTCACTCCTCAATGACTGCTTCATGAAGTGGGTTTCCTGTTTGGTTACAGTCATGGTTTTCCAGGCCTGGCATGGGGACCCACAGGGTGAGAGGCCTTTGCCCTCACAGACAGACATTAGAGGGGCAATATCCAAACTTCCAGAAAGACCCAAGGGTCTGTTTGGGGGAGGGGTGCTTAGCAAATCGGAGCCGCCAAATATGTGTTTGAGATGAAACAAATTGGCATTTTCAGAACGAGGAGGATCATACGAAACAGGTAAATGCTGCATCTCTAGGAGTTTGAGTGCCTTTGGGGGAAGCAGTGGAACCACGATATCCATGCAGGAGGACGGGGTGCCGAGACTTCCAGGAGGTGACGCACAGAGCCTCGTCCAGTGCCCGCTGTGCAGTGGCCGCGTCAGTAAATAGTACAGCTGTTACTGCTGTGTGGCACCAGAGTCACAGGCCGTGAGCCCTGGCAGGGTCAGCCACGAGGTCGGCGATGGCCTGGGCACGAGCAGGCCGCCAGGGAGAGCAGCTGCATTGGTGAGCTCCGGCATGCGCACCCACGTCCAGCTCGTTTGACCCTGGAGCCAGGGCTGCCCTTTGCCCTCCGTCTGGGTCTCACACTGGGTCCCACACTGGGTCCTAAGATGCACTGGACAGCCCGGCACTTCAGACTTCACTGCCCAGCCAACAGTTCTTGTCATCGTCCATACTTACTACACCCGCCACCCACCCCTCGCGCCCCCTGCCTGTTGGATCCCTGGCAGCTGACTCTCGCTAAAGATCTTAGAGAAGTGTCAGGTGTGTCACAAAGAAAGCCTGGTGAGAGATGAAAGGAGGTCTTCTCCCTCTGGGGGAGAGGAGTCTGGAATCTACTGCCTCTCCTGCATTCTCCTGTCCCTGGCCAAGGAGCTGGGCCTCTGAGCACGGCTTTTTCTCGGCGCATTCATGCATCCCGTGTAATCCCACTGGGCTGCTCCTGTTTCTGCAGCTTGCGTCCCTGGGGCGGGAGCCAGCTTCCCTGACAGGTACAGTTTAGGTCATGTGACTCTTCAGACCATGATGCTAAACTTGCTGGAGGAGGGGCGGGCTCAGGAACAGGGTGTTAAAGGAACCTTGCCTTCTGCTGCCTTTCGGGCATATGAGAGAGGGGCGTCCTGATTCCTGGAGTCAGGCAGGAATGCAAGATGACTCCAGGCGCCTGTGGTTGCAGAGGGCTTGGACTCCAGGAAGGGAGGAGGTCGTGTGGTCGTGAGCTAGGTTTCATGGAGGTTAGCCCCACGCTCTGGAGTCACATCCGAAGGGGATGAGTCGCGCTGGTTCAGGCACTCATGGCCCTCGGACAGCCTGCCTGTGAGCAAGGACTTCCGGGCCCAGAGAGGCTGGCAGAGTGGCATTGTGGGGACTAAGAATATTTCGGCAGAGACATCTGGGAAATGTGACTCAGCCCGCGGTCAGGAGTTTCCACGTTTTCCCCACCCTTGGTCCAGGGCGCACCTGCACCTTCACACCCCCTTTCCTCTGGAGAGCAGGAGCAGACTCCTCTCCTGGGAGGGCCAAGGCCTCAGTCCTTCCCCAGCCCATGCCCACCTGCCACTCAGATGCCCCCGGCGTATTCTGCATCCTGATTGGAATCGCTGTTGAAATGGAGTCTGTGCTTCCTAGGAACTGGCCAGCTGTGGATGGAGTAAGAAGGAGAAACATAGCCTCGCCCCCAATGTCGTGGCCTTTACCCGGAGGTTTAACCAGGTAAGCAACACCCCTTGCCTGTGTCGGTGGGACTAGCAGTCTGTTGTCCCCTGTCCTGGTGGGAGCCCTGTCGCGGTCCACTCCGAGGCGTGTGGTCCCGGGCCCAAACCTCGCTTCTGGGGTGCGCCACCTCCATCTCCTTGTTTCACCAAGCGGGTGGATCGGGTGTGCTTTTCTGTGTTTGTGTTGCTGGAGGAGCTTCCTCTTCCGTGGGCGTAGCCAGGTGCTCGGTGAAGCCCGCGTGGCGGGTCTGTGCTCGGTGAAGCCCGCGTGGCGGGTCTGCGCTCGGTGAAGCCCGCGTGGTGGGTCTGGGCCACCCACATCCTGTGCTTCTGCTCCCACTCCAGCTCCGCTGTCTCGGCCTTCGTTCTTTCGCCGCCGGCACCGATTCTCTCCCAGGCCCCTGCACATTCTGTCTTCTCAGCCCAGGATTCTTCCTCCCCGCTCAGCTCCCAATCAGATCTCAGCCCGAATGTCCTCGGGGGGCCTCCCCGGGAGCCCCTGCCTGGGGGAGGTCTCCGTGCCACACGCAGCTCATACATCCTCGCTTCCTCGCCATGTGGTCCCTGCCTCCCTTGCCAGTCCAGGAGCTGCACGAGTGCCTGTCTCACGCGCCACTGTGTCCCCCACTCAGCACCTCCGCTCACCCTGTGTCAGGGGTGAGCCACGTGCAGTCTTCCCCAGCCCACGCCCACCTCCTGCTTAGACGCCCCCGATGTATTTTGCATCCCGATTGGAATCACTGTTGAAACAGACTCTGTGCTTCTTGGATCAGCTTCTTTGAATCCTGAGGGTTTGGTCACTGGCCCCCTGGTGCTCCAGGCTGGAGGATCCTTGTCCTGTTGACATGAACGATAGTGACTGGAGACTTGGACCCGCTTGGGGGTGGGGGAGGGGCTCCTGATTTCTTCCATAGGAGGCACCCTGCCCAGCTCCCTGGGCATCCACCAGGTGCCACGTGGTGCTGCCGGTTTCTCCTCCCCTCTCTCACTTCTGTGGTTCCACACGAGGACATTAGCCTGGAGGTTGCATAATGCACGTGACTGGCTCCTGGGTGACCAGGCCTGCGTCCCCGCTGGGGCTCCCCCACAGCTGGGCCTGCCCTCTCGGAAATGCCTGGTCCCTTGCATCACTGTTGCTCAACTCTCGCAGGCCTCTGTGGGCCTCTCCAGCCTCGGCCTGCCACCCAGCACAGCGAGGCCCCCGCCTGGGGACTGCAGACCAGTGTGGCGTTGTGTGATGAGAGATGTGGGGGTCTAGAAGGGCCTCCGGGCCTCGGGGCCTCGGGGCTAGGGGCTACACACTGTTGGTTTGGAAAAGTGAAGTTCCAAGGCCTTTTGCTGCTTTTCCCCCCTTCCTGTTGAAAATCTTTTTCTTTTCAACTGAGGTTAGGCTTTTTAAAAAAAGCAGATGTGCACAAACTATCAGGGGACGCGTAGTTTCACCCACAGAACTATGTGACCGGGAACCAGCTCGGCCCCACCTCTGACCAGCCCCAGGGGGCCCTGATGCAATCGGCTCTGCACTCGGATGCCAGGTCAGCTTGGCGAAGAGCTTGCGGCTTGTTCTGCGAACAGTCGCATCGTGTCCGGCTCAGACCAAGTGGTGAGATGGCAGGAAGTGCAGACGCGTGTCTCCAAAGGGAGCGCTCTGGGCTGCGGTCTCTCTGCTGCCCATCAGCCATTCAGAGCCAGCGGCTCCTGTGCGTCCCCCTGGGAGCCGTGGACAGAGAATGGCCAGAGGCCAGCCTGATCGGCCCCTGGGGCTGCTTTCCTGCAGACATTCCGTGGTGGGTGAGAACGAGACCCCCTTGTCAGACCCCTGAGAAAGGGGAGGGCGTCACCTGTCTTGGAGCTTCAGTCTCCAGGTTTGTAGCCGAGAGCAGCAGCATCATGCCTCATGGCTCGTGCATGGTGTCACGAGGGGGCAGTGAGGTGGCCCACCACAGGGCTCATGCCCCGTGCACGGTGTCACGAGGGGGCAGTGAGGTGGCCCACCACAGGCCTCATGGCTCATGCACGGTGTCACGAGGAGACAATGAGGTGGCCCACCCCAGGGCTCATGCCTCGTGCACGGTGTCATGAGGGGGCAGTGAGGTGGCCCACCACAGGGCTCATGCCTCGTGCACGGTGTCACGAGGGGGCAATGAGGTGGCCCACCACAGGGTTTATGCCTCGTGCACGGTGTCACGAGGGGGCAGTGAGGTGGCCCACCCCAGGGTTCATGCCTCGTGCATGGTGTCACGAGGAGGCAGTGAGGTGGCCCACCACAGGGCTCATGCCTCGTGCACGGTGTCACGAGGGGGCAGTGAGGTGGCCCACCCCAGGGTTCATGCCTCGTGCATGGTGTCACGAGGAGGCAGTGAGGTGGCCCACCACAGGGCTCATGCCTCGTGCACGGTGTCACGAGGAGGCAGTGAGGTGGCCCACCCCAGGCCTTCAGTGGGGTCTGGCGCGGAGTTCTTACCCACATGTTTTGGTTGGGGAGTAAAATGTGAGGATCGGCTGATTGGAAAGAGGTTGCCGGGAAGCTCAAGGCTCCTTGTAGCCAAACCAGAAACCCAGTGGCCAGTGTCCTCGTCTCTGCTAGGGACTCCCTGACTCTCCATGGGGTCTGAGCCCCTTGGGATTTGCTCACCTAGAGGCTAAGATAGACGGGCATGGCAAGTCCTGGTGTGCCGGGCCTGTTCACGGCACGGTACACAAGTTCTCAGTCTTTCATGGGGCATGGGTTCTTTTGAGAATCTTGACAGCGTCACATATGAACTTCCCCCGGAGGAATGCAGGGTACCTAAGTCTGCCTTTAATTTTAGAGGCTCACGGCACCCTGGAGTCTGTGCAGCTGCTGCAGTCTCACGGAATCAAGCAGACCTGCTTGGAGTCGTGGCCCTGTAGCTTAGTAGCTGTAGATCTGGGGTTGGCTATTAGCCTGGCTGAGCCTCCTCTTCCTCTCTTACGAAACAGGAAGGATCACGTCCAGTGGTGTCCGGAGATTAAATGAGAACTGTGGATGTTAAGGGTTTAGCCTAGTGCTTGACGTGTAGTAAATAATTCACTCACATTAGCTTAAAAAGTGGTGTCGAGGAGTGGGAGCCCTGGGCTGAGAGAAGGGCTCCGGCTGAAGTGCGGCTGTCCTGAAGGTGTGGAAATTTTGGGAAAAATGAAGAGGGAATTGGGAGGAATGGTGGCACCAGAGAGAACCTGAGGGTTGCTGACATCTGAGGGCTGGGAGAAGACTGGAGGTAGAGGAGGGTCGTGGGCTGGGGGCCCGGAGGTACCTGGGGAGGGTGGGACAAAGGAGGGGAATCTGCAGAGGGCATCAGCTGAGGCAGGCCAGAGAGGAGTGCTCTGAACCCAGCAGCAAGGGAGCGGTTTCCTGGAGAGTTGCAGGTTGAGGGAAGAAGTGTGAGGCAGGGGAGGGAGCAGGTGGTGGGTTCCTGCGGGAGTGGGAGCAGGCGTTAGGGTTCTTGCAGGGGTGGGAGCAGGTGTTAGGGTTCCTGCGGGGGAGGGAGCAGGTGTTAGGGTTCCGGCGGGGGAGGGAGCAGGTGTTAGGGTTCTTGCAGGGGTGAGAGCAGGTGTTAGGGTTCCTGCAGGGGAGGGAGCAGGTGTTAGGGTTCCTGCAGGGGTGAGAGCAGGTGTTAGGGTTCCTGTAGGGGTGAGAGCAGGTTTTAGGGTTCCTGCGGGGGTGGGAGCAGGTGTTAGGGTTCCTGTAGGGGTGAGAGCAGGTTTTAGGGTTCCTGCGGGGGTGGGAGCAGGTGTTAGGGTTCCTGTGGGGGTGGGAGCAGGTGTTAGGGTTCTTGCAGGGGTGAGAGCAGGTGTTAGGGTTCCTGCGGGGGAGGGAGCAGGTGTTAGGGTTCTTGCAGGGGAGGGAGCAGGTGTTAGGGTTCCTGCAGGGGAGGGAGCAGGTGTTAGGGTTCCTGCGGGGGTGGGAGCAGGTGTTAGGGTTCCTGCGGGGGTGGGAGCAGGTGTTAGGGTTCCTGCAGGGGAGGGAGCAGGTGTTAGGGTTCCTGCGGGGGTGGGAGCAGGTGTTAGGGTTCCTGCAGGGGTGGGAGCAGGTGTTAGGGTTCCTGCGGGGGTGGGAGCAGGTGTTAGGGTTCCTGCAGGGGAGGGAGCAGGTGTTAGGGTTCCTGCGGGGGTGGGAGCAGGTGTTAGGGTTCCTGCAGGGGTGAGAGCAGGTGTTAGGGTTCCTGCAGGGGTGAGAGCAGGTGTTAGGGTTCCTGTGGGGGTGGGAGCAGGTGTTAGGGTTCCTGCGGGGGTGAGAGCAGGTGTTAGGGTTCCTGCGGGGGTGGGAGCAGGTGTTAGGGTTTCTGTGGGGGTGAGAGCAGGTGTTAGGGTTCCTGCGGGGGTGGGAGCAGGTGTTAGGGTTCCTGCGGGGGTGGGAGCAGGTGTTAGGGTTTCTGTGGGGGTGAGAGCAGGTGTTAGGGTTCCTGCAGGGGTGAGAGCAGGTGTTAGGGTTCCTGTGGGGGAGGGAGCAGGCGTTAGGGTTCCTGCAACAGTGGCTCCAGGGAGGAGCTGAGAACACGGGAGGAGGACTCCTGGGAGGAGGTTGAATGTTCCCTCTTCTTTCAAGGGCCCAGAGCCTTGGGGACATTGAGATTCTGAGTAGTCGCGTCCAGTAGACCAGGAGAAGCTACGGGTGAGGGGAGACGGAAATGCGAAAGAACTAAAGTCTAGGAAAAGGTAGGATAAGCAGTCCTGGCTACTGCAGAAAAGTAAGAGAGGTACACGTTGGAAAGGATAAATGCAATCATCTTTATCCACAGATGACATGATGTATAGGAAATCTATGAAGAAAAACCCTGGACTAGTGAGTGAGTATAATTTTGCAGGACCCAAGGTCAATACACAAAAGCCAATTGCTTTCCTATATACCAGCAACAAAGAGCTGGGATTTGATATTTAACAATAGCGCCATTTACAATAGTACCACAAAATAAGACATACTTATGAATACACCTAACAAAATAGGTACATCTACAAAACACTGATGGAGGATATCCAAGTAGATCTAAACAAATGGACAGAGTCCATCTTGATGGGTTGGAAGACACAATATTGTTAAGGTGTCACTTCTTCCCAACTTGATCTGTAGATTCAGCGTAATCCCAGCCAACCTCCTAGAACGCTGTTTTGTAAATGCCAAAGAAATAATTGTCAAATTTGTGTGGGAAGACTAAAGATCTAGCTTAACCAACGATGCTGAAAAAGAAGAACACAGCTGGAAAACTCAGTCTACCTGATTTCAGGACTTTCTGTCAAGCTACCATCCATTGACAGCATGACAGAGGTAAAAGAGTGGACACCTGGGCCAGTGGGACAGAGGGGACCCACACAGGTACAGTCCACTGATCTTTGATAACGGCGTGAAGCCATTCTGTGGACAAAAGGATGCCATTTTCAGCAAGTGGTCCTGGAACAATGAAAACATAATCGCGTGTGTGTGTGCATGAGGAAAAACAAACCTAGACATGGATTTTAGACTCTCTGTAGCTCTGCCTTTCGAATAAATAAATAAATCTTTTTTAATAATACACGAACAGCTTTTTTTAAAAAAATATTTATTTATTTGAAAGGCATAGTTACAGAGAGAAGGAGAGGCAGAGAGAGAGAGAGAGAGAGAGAGAGAGAGGTCTTCCATCCGCTGGTTCACTCCCCAGTTGGCTGCAACAGCCAGAGCTGTGCCGATCTGAAGCCAGGAGCTTCTTCCAGGTCTCTTATGCGGCTGCAGGGGCCCAAGGACTTGGGCCATCTTCTACTGCTTTCCCAAGCCATAGCAGAGAGCTGGATTGGAAATGGAGCATCTGGGTCTCAAACTGGTACCCATATGGGATGCTGGAACTGTAGGCAGCAGCTTAACCCACTACGCCACAGTGCCGGCCCCGCAAACAGCTCTTTAACAATTATTTATCTATTTGAAAGGAAAAGAGAGAGAGAGATCTTCCATCCTCTGATTCACTCCCCAAATAATAGCAAAACCAGGATGGGAGCGTGGCACTCCATCCAGGTCTCCCACATGGGTGGCTGGGGCCCACGTGCTTGGGTCGTCATCCTCTGCGCTTCCAGGACGTTGGCAGGGAGCTGGATCAGAAGTTGGGGTAGCTGGGGCTCAGCTGGCACTCATGGAATGTGTGTGTCCCAAGCAAGGGTCCTTGTCCTCTGCACCTTAATGCCTGCCCCTACAGAGAGCTTTTATCAACCAGCAACAGTAAGAGAAAAGACGTCCCAGTAGGAAGATGGGTGAAGGACCGTGCGGCGACTCACAAGGCAAATCTTGTCAGTGTTTGGAACAGTAAGGTTAACTGAGAAACACACACACACTCACACACACACACACACACACTCACAGGTTAACCCTCATAGTCATGAAAGAGTACAAAGTAGAAACAGTTAGAAAGCATTTTTGTCCACTGGATTAGTAAAAAAAAAAAAAAAAAAGCAATGACTGGTTAGGGCCTGTGTGTGGGAACATGGATCTGCTTACACCTATGGGTGAGCTAGCAGGCACCTGTCGAAGGCCATGTTTTGGTGTACACTTTTGAAGCAAAGTTCACTTTCATTCACCCCACCATAACAGAAATCTGCTCTTGGGGGGCCAGTGAAAAGTGTGCAAAGACATATGCACAAAGATACTCACCACGCCAGGGCGTTGTTTGTTCACAGCAGCCTATCAAAGGTAAGTCGCCTGGCAGCCAGGGTGAAGGAGGTACCAACGCATCCCCAACTGCGAAAACGGGCTGTAGAACATTCGTGCACTTACAGAAGTCCTTGTGACAGGTGATTAATGTGTCCCGGCAGTTGACAAAGACAGAATCCACGAGAAGGGTGCCTCTCCTGGTGGCCTGTGTGGACATGGGTTTTTGGTCTTCTGTGCTTGCCTGTTTCCCTCATTTTCTGCAGTAAACGTGTGTGACATCTTGTAATTGGAGAACTAAAAACTATTTAAAATGGTGCTTTCTCCGTCTGACCTGCCCCTTTGCTGCATGCCTGGGGCTCGGCGTTGGTCACCGAGGCTGTCACGTCAGCTTTGTAACCAGCGTCCACCCAGCCATCCATCTGCTCGGACGCCTCCGAGGCTACCCCTGTAGGATGGCGTCCTAGCCTCTCCCCCTGCCCCAGCCTGGTCCCCGCCCTCTGCAGCTTCTTCCTTCCTTGTCATCCTCACGCCCAGAAGTGCAGCACCTGTCCTGCCGGCCCACGCAGCTGCCGTGGTCCTGGTAAACGCAGGCGCGCCGCGCTCCTGCCTCACGTGCTGCAAGTCCTCCCATCTTCCAAGGCTCACCTCCCTCTCAGAGCCTTCTCTGGCATCGGCACCACATGTTCCAGTTCTCTTCTGGGAGCTCCTTCTGTGGCTAGATTGCAGGGATTTCTGGGGGACTCCCCCTCTCGCCTTGTCACCCCCACACCAGGCAAGTTGTGGTAGGTTTGCAGGGCTCCGTTGAACCCTGCCGTGGCTTCAGAGCTGTCCCACACACTGGATGCTACTGACCCAGAGTCAGCTCTGCCGTGTTCCAGCGCCACGCAGGAATCTCCCAGCCGGGGGAAGATGTGGCCTAAAGACGAGGCTGCCTTGAAATACGGTGTTTCCGGGGCACCCCATTTGTCTCCAGAGCAGCTTCTTCCCCAGCTAGCCAGCTGTCGTTTCAGCCTGAGCTTCCTCATAGGCACTTCCGTGGAAACAATGATGGAAACCCGATGGTGCCCTGGAGAAAATCACAGATGGTTGTGCCGAGACAACACTTGTGTAGTGCGCCTGCTGGTACAGAAAGCGAGGCGCTCGCTTCCCCTTCCTGTCCCTCCGAGACGTGGAATGAGTCCATTTCGCTGCAGCAGTGGGCTGGCTCCTTAGCCCTGGTGCATCCCTGACTACTTTTTTCTTTGGAAAGCTTCGGGGCTGCGGGCACCGTCCTTCCTTCTGCCCTTGGCCGGGCTCTCCGCTCTTCCCTGCTGTGCTGTCAGCATTGCACTGGAGTGAAAGCAGGGAACTGGCCGACGGCTTCACGTCCCGTCCTGGCCCAGTCCCGTCCTTCACAGGTGCACGACTCTCTGGCTCCCAGCCGCGGCCCAGGGCTTCAGAGGTAGAACATGACCAAGCCTTGAACCTGAGCCGGCAGCCCCTTGTGGCACCTGCTATCTCCAGATGACCCAGTTCCTTGACCTGTACTGCTCCTTGGGACTTTGAAAGATGCATTGCGTCACTTAAGTGATCAGTCAGACTCCTTCCTGTCTTGGGCGTGGCTGGCGCTGTGGACCTCACGGGTGGTCCTGCCAGCAGGCACATCCCCATGTCTGGCCATCCGTCCATCTGTCCATCCATCATTCACTGTCTCCCCACAACTGAGGTCCCTCTGAGCCGTGCTGCTCTGGGTGGTGATGTCAGCACCTGCTTCTCTCAGCAGCACGGGGGGTGTTGGAGGGGGCTGCCAGGAGCACAGGGCCCGGTGCGGGGTCGCGTGCTGTGGGGGGCTGTCAACCTCATGCCACACTGGGCTGTGCCCCCAGCTGCCTCCCTGACCTCTTGGAAGCCCCACAGGCGGTGGGCGAGGGTGCCACAGGCGCTACGGCATCTAACAGCTTCTCTGGTGTGTTTGTGTGTGTGTGTATGTGTGTGTATTTGAATCCACAGGTCAGTTTTTGGGTTGTACGAGAAATTCTAACAGCACAGACTTTAAAAATAAGGGCAGAAATCCTGAGCCATTTTGTGAAAATAGCCAAGGTAAGCTGTTTTGTTATTTTTTCTACTTTTCCCTTATTTATTTATTTTTGTCTCAAATGTATGTCTCCTTAGTGTTTTCATGGTCGCTTTGCTCTGGGCCTGTGGAGCCGGCTCAAGCGGGGCCATGACCTGACCTCCACAGCCAGCTATAGGACCTACCTGGCTGCCCCCTACCGTACCCCTCATCGGGTCAGCATTCTCCTCACCAGTGGTCAGCAGCTGCCCTGGGAACGTATTCCTTCTCTTATTTTAGGTTTAGCTTGGGTGGGCGTTGATGGATTTTCTGTAGGGTGCAAGTGCACCCTATAGAGTTGTGCACCCTATAGAGCCCACCCACCTGGGCCATCCTGAGTTTAAGGCCTGGGCTAGATGTTCCTGCCTCCCCCAACCCCCAGCCTCTCGCCCCCTAGCCCGATAGGTTCTGTCCTTGCCTCTCACTAGGCGCCACCAAGCCCCCTCCTCCTGCCATCCTAGGGCCTTCTTGGACCACCCCCCTGTCCAGGCAGGTCCTCCCTGCACCCTCTCCCATCAGCCGGGCCTGCCAGGCCCTGGGCAGCAGCTCTGCTCACCTGGCTCGCTGCCTGCCCACCCGTCCTGGCCCCTGTGAGCCAGGCTGGCGGAGAGGCTTCGCTGCCGCCGTCGCACCCAGGGCTCACCTCCCCATCATCGCCATCATCCCTCTGCAGAGGGGCAAGGCGCGGTGCAGCGAGGTGAAGTTCTTGCTTGGTGCCCCACAGCTGCTCGGCAGCACAGGTGTCTGAGTCAGGTTTCTGTGCCTTTGGGCCCTGCTCTGCTGCCTCTCACGGGGGGGGGCCAGGTGCGTCGGTCTGTCCCTGTGCGAGGGGCAGTGGCCAAGTTTACGTCTTGGGCACATCTGGCCCCTGGGCAGTATAATGCCAGTGAAATCATTTGGTCTGGCCCTGCCAAGGCAGTCACAGGTGGGACTTGAAATTCAGTAAATCTATGGGCAGGCTAATGTTTAAATTGATGATTTGTATGGCCTGCAAATGATGTTGTGAATATCCAAATGGTCCTTGGTAGAAAAGAAGCGTCCCGCTCTGAAATGTTGGCACCAGTACTGGCCTAAGGATACCAGTTGTTATCCAACTGTTCTGGGCTGGGCCGCGAGATAAAGTGGGCTGGGGTTCCAGCAAGCCCGGCACTGCGCAGGGGCACAAGGGTGGAGAAAGCACCGTCCCTGCTCTCGGGGAACACGAGATCTGGGGTTTACAAGAGAGGCGAGAGAAAAGTAGGTCCATCCGCATTCAGGCCACACGGGGACGGACACAGAGCCGGACTCCAGCCCTCTTGGGTCTGGGGACGTGGCGAGGAGGCCACGGTAGAGGAGGCAGCATCTGAGGGAGAGGAGAGTCCTGCAGACAGGCTGAGACCCCCACGGTGCTGGCCAGGCGCTGGCGCGGGCAGCGGACCCACGCGATGGGGCGTAGCACAGGGGCCGTCCTTGCCTTCCTCGTGTCAGCTGTGAGGTTCAGGAGCGGGCAGCGAGGGTCGGGATCAGGGCTCGGTTCCACAGAGGTGCTTGCCAACCCAGACATCTCCAGCTCCCAGCAATGAGGAACACGCCCCTAGTCCTGTTAGCAGGCTTCCCTCCATGTCAGTCCAGGCGCAGAGCAGTTCCGTTCTCCCACACTCGCTCTCTTCTGCCCGCCACAGTGGGGAACAAGCCCGAGGCTGAATGGGACCCAGCTGTCCTCACTGATTGGGGTCTGGTTCAGAGGGGTGTGGGTGGTTGCGCCTTGGGACGCGGGGGCATTGCCTTCCCGGCTGCAGGGATGAGGGAGCTTGCCCACACCCCCTTGGCTCCCGCGTGCGGTGCTAAGGCGATCTCGGAGGGCCCACGCGGCTGCTACTGGCGCAGGCGCCCGCCGGAACGGTGACCAGATTCACCTAAAAAAAGAACATGGAGGGTGTTCTCAAATCTCAGCCCGAGCCGTGTTCCTGTCCCCCAGCCAGGCCTGTCAGCCTGCGACGTGCTGCACATGTCTGAGGTGCAGGCTCACCTTTGACAGTTTCAGAGAACGAGCAGCTGGTGTCTGGGGCTGCCTGGCGCTGCATTTCCTACACAGGATATTTTTAAGTGTAATTGAATTTCATAAATATGACAACATTTGGTAACACTTGAGCGTGTTTTTGTTCTGTTGTTTATAGCAGGACAATAATCTGTTCCATATCTTTTTTTCCTCCCCCAGAAACTTCTAGAACTCAACAACCTTCATTCTCTCATGTCTGTGGTGTCAGCGTTGCAGAGCGCGCCCATCTTCAGGCTGACCAAGACCTGGGCTGTAAGTTCATCCTCTTGAGTCTGACTCTGGTTCTGGCCGTCGCTGCACTGGGGGAGTTCCCAGGCCCCAGGCTTTCTCCGACCTTCTACACTTTGCCAACAGCCGAAAGCCTGGGAGCGAATGGAACATCTCTGGGTATCCTCATTCCGTCGGCACCGACAGCCCCATTGCACTGGGAGGGGGAAGTGAGGGCGCCAGCGTGGCTGGGGTCAGGAGCCCCTTGAGTCTGTCTTCCTGGACCTGCCAGGTCGTGGCTGGCGGCCAGCTCAGCAGCCCGAGTCCTGGCCCCTGCTTGGCCAGTCGCACACTGCCCTCGGAAGGTCTGGGCTCCTGGTTTGCAGCTGCCCGGTCACTGGCCCCGCAGCTAAGGGTTTCTCTGCAGAAACCTGTGACCCTCGTGTTGGGAAAAATGATTTTTTTTTTCCTGAGGCCATGGGTAATTTCGGCTCTGAGGTGGAGCCTGATCGTTATATAATTGAGTCTGTAGGAAAGTTTTTCTCCTGTAAAAATACTTTAAAAATATCTCAGACCTCCTTATCCTCCTGAGCTTGGCACAGCGCCCGACACAAGGGAAGTAATTGCTGTTTCCATCGCTCAGTAGCATCCGCCTCCTGGCCGGGCCCAGGGTTGCTCACAGCCGCACGGCCCCAGGCTTCCAAGAGCTGTTTATGAGTCCTGGGGCTGACGGGAACAGCGGCCCCGCAGCTCCTTCCTGCTGGTCTGAGGGTCCGGGCTCTGTTTGCCACGGGGCTGCTCCAGGGGCCATTAAAACGCTTAGGGGCTGTGTTGTCGGAGGTGGTCGGAGATGAGCCTTGTGTCTTCAGTCTGCAGCTCCACCGACCTTGCCCTAGGGGAGCGGAGCGAGCTCTGTCAGCCTGCAGTGCCCAGGCTAGCGCTTGCGTTGTTGGGGGTCCCTCGGGGCCACCGCCCAGCAGGGAAGGGAGTCTGACAGGCAGCAGGGCCCGCTGCCCGCCAGCGTGGCCTGCGCCTGCGTTTACGTCCTGGGCTGTGGCTGCGGAGGTCAGGCACATCTGGAAGCCTCGGGCCTCCGGCATTGCCGTCAGCCCTGGGATTCCAGCTCTGGCTAAGCAGGGAGGCTTTTTGAAGTGAGTTTGCCATCCCTGAGGTGCCGCAGCCGTGGGTGGGAGAGCTGAGAGCTGTGGGAGCACCTGGGGGCTGGGACTTAATCTTGCCGGGAAGCGCAGACCTTGCAGGCAGCAACGTGGGGACCCTCAGGGACCCCTGAAGAGGTCAGTGAGGGCCGAGGGGGTGAGTCATCCCGGAGGGGGTTGGCCGAGGGTCCTGCTGCCATGTGATCCACTTGGGGACAGGGCAGGGCCCAACAGTGAAGCCACTGACTGTTCTCCGGAGGATGCTGTCTACTGGCGGGACGGTGGGGCAGCGCCAGGTCCGAGTGATACCCAGCGCGGCTGTGTTTGGCTTCGTAAGTGTGGCTCAGGCTGGCCGAGTCTTCACTGCTGTTGATGGGGCCTCGGAAGCCTGGAAGGGAACAGCCACTCCGGACCCGATCCAAGGCCTGAGCTCCTTCACCCAGCCCCCTTCCAGGCCTTGTGAGTCAACTCTTCTTCCTTATGCGTCTGCCCGAATGAAACAAGGGAGCAGGCCAGCCCTAAACACGTCACATCTGTCAACCCATTTTGTCCTGGGAGCTCCCCACTGAGGCAGGGGCCGACCTTGGTCTCCTTTACAGGCACACATGTGGAATGATTGGCACAGGGTCCCCAGGCAGGCGCAGGACGAGGTTCCAGCCTCAGCGTCCGGCTCCAGCGTCCATGCCCCACCAACTGGGAAAGGAGAACACCTGTCACTCAGAACAAGAGAGGAGTCTTTCTGTTCCCTCTTTTTAAATTTGGGCTTATTCTGCTTTCTCCTCAGAGAAAAGGCCCGTGAAGGTGAGCTCAGTGGATTCTCAGTGCCTCTGCAGGCTCTCGGGCCTCCCCTTTGGCTGCTCTTGGCCTGGTGCTTGGCAGCTGGCGTACAGCAGACAGGGAGGTCAGAGCAGGGCCTGTTGGGGAGGGAATGTATAGCCAGTGATCTGGGAGAGGTGCGGCCGGGATGCCTGCGGGCCACTTGCTCCTCAGCTCATCCCAGCCACCCCCACCCCTGCTCCTCCACTCCCCTGGGGCTGGCTGGCTGGCTGCCGGCTCTTTCACCTCCATGAGCATTTAACTGGAGAGAACCAGGGATTTGCAGGGGAGCTGAGATTGCATACGCCAGAGAACAGGGGCTCTGAGCAGTAACACAACCCTGTCAGATACCTCCCCAGTGTCTCCTAAGGGCTGGGACCAGAGCTGTTTCCCTGGTTACCGGTGGCCACTGTCCAGCACAGAAGGTGGACAGGAAATAGGAATGGCAACTGCAAACCAGGTGTCTGGGAGGGAGGAGGTGACACCTCCATGTGGGTTTCCACATGAGGTTGCCAAGGGCACGAGTGGGGGTGCTGTTCTTGGGGAGCCTGCCTGTCCTCCTCTGAGATCAGAGCCAACACTTGGTTGGCGCCAAGTGTTGGGTCGTGAACAGGGCCAAGCTCATCATCTTCACCCTTTATCCAGCAGGTGGGCGCCAGCCTTGTGTGTGTTCCTGGCGCACCTGTCTGCAGGCGGAGCACCGTCTGCCCTGCAGTTCTGTCTGCAGCTCTGCCTCCCTCTGCTGACTGCCCTCCCTCATGCCGATGACTGACTGTTCTCGGGGCCCAGCCCAGTGTACGTGTGTTGTGTTGTTGGAATTCGTTGTGCTGATCAGCTTCCTTCTTTCGCTGTTGATTTCCGGCAATGAGTGTACCATCGAAACGTCGCCCTAAAAGAGCCACTTCCTTTCCTTTCACTTGTCACTCGAGCTGGGACTGCTGCGACCTCATGGGCTCACCGGGTAGAGGCAGCTGGAGGCACAGGAGGGGCTGACCTGACAGCCCCCAAAATCAGTGCTTTTACCACCTTCCTTTTGCAGAGGAAGAAGCTGAGTTTTCTGAGAGGTGGTACCAGTGACCTTCCCAAGACCCTGAAGCCAGTGATACAGCCTGGCCTTGCCAGCTCCCACGACCCCACTGTCTGGCCAGTGTGACGGACGGCCTGTTAATCAGGGGACCCAGGGGTGGAATTGGGAAGTGGGACTGGAGAAGTAAGGCTGGCACACAGGCCCTAGGGGCTGGCTCTCTGGGATCTGTCCCGGGGGTTGGAGGTTGCACTGGGAAACCTGGGCAGCAGGAGGTCATATGTATGAGAGCAGATCTGCCACTTGGCTGGACCTTGGAGGACTTCCAGGGAGGGACAGTTGGTTATTGGCTGGGTAGGGCAGCCCATTAGCCTGTCCGTGCCTGACCTCTGAATGCTGGCATCTGGGTGAGTTGCATAGGACATAGACCAGGCACGGGCCTGTATACAGTAGGCTCCCCAGTAATGCTTGCTGTGTACACAAGCAGGAGTAGAGTCAGGGCTGGCCCAGAAGATTGCAGACAGAATGATTAATCCCAGCCCTGGGGCTGCTGTGGGACGTTGGCCCCTTCAAGCCGAGAAACCCAAGCAGGAAGTCCTATCAGTTAGTCGTGTCCTCCTGAGTGCACACCGCCACGCAGCTCTTACTTCCTCTGCAGATCAGGTATCTACCTAGGGCCTCCTCCATGCCAGGGCCACGCCCTTGGGGTCTCTTGTTGTTCAGAGGAGACAGGCCCGTCACTCAGGGAGAATACACAGGGGCCAGTCTGGCCAGCAAGAAGCCGTCAGTGAATGCTGGTTGAACACCTGAAATAATGAACAGGGAGCCCTGGGACAGGAATACAAGCCTCACAGAGCCTGGATAGGAGGATGGGGTAGAGAGGCCTGCTGTCTGCTCTGGCCTGTGGCCCTCTGGGGAGGCCTCTCTCAGATGACACCCTTGAAGTCAAGGCCTGAAAGACGAGGAGCAGCCAGCCATGCCAGGATGAGGGGACAAGCCTTCCAGGCCGGGGAGATGGTGGTGCTAGGACCTGCAGCCGGCGCCTAAGTGTGGTGCCAGTGAGGAATCCACAGATGGCTGTGGCTGGAGCTCAGTGGGCTGGAGAGATTGGTGTGTCACACTCACAGCCAGGGACAGGAGGTAGATCCTTTCTTTTTCAATAAAAAAATTTTTGTTTTAATTTTAACTTGACTGAAAGGTAGAGAGAGAGAGAGACAGAGAATCAGAGATCTTCCATCTGCTGGTTCATTCTTGAAATGCCTGCAACAGCGAGGGCAGGGCCAGGCCAAAGCCAGGAGCCCAGAACACCATCCAGGTCTTCCGCACGGGTGACATGGACCCAAGTACTTGAGTATCGCCTGTTGCCTCCCAAGGTACACACAGCAGGAAGCTAGATTGCAAGTGGAGCTGGAACTTGAACTGGGCACTGGGACATGGATGTGAACATGCCAAGCTGTGTCTTTATTTTATTTTTTAAAAGATCTATTTTATTTATTTAGAAGGCATCGTTATGGAGAGAGGTAGAGACACAGAGAGAGGGGTCTTCCATTCACTGGTTCACTCCCCAAATGGCTGCAATGGCCAGAGCTGAGCTGATCCGAAGCCAGGAGCCAGGCGCTTCTTCCAGGTCTCCCACGCGGGTGCCGGGCCCAAGGACTTGGACCATCCTCCGCTGCTTCCCCCGGCCGCAGCAGAGAGCCAAGCTGCGCCTTCACGCCTGTGTCAGGCGCCCTCCTTAGGAGTTAGATGGTACACTGTGTGCCCTGAGGGGCTTTAAACGGGGGGTCAGACTGGGTCTGGTGTACGGTAGCCTTTTGGTGCAATGTTTCCAGTTACTGCTGCCGCCACCGTGTGGAATGCACACTGGGAGGGGCACCGAAGTTTCTACAAGAACGTAGTTTGGAGGTTGGGCAGTGTGCGGGGTGAGGCCGAGTTAGCTCAGGTCAGGGTGCCGGAGACACGGACAGTGAGCTGATAGGGGCTGCATCCTTAGGGCTGCCGTGTGTGTGGCGAGGGGGGGCCGGGGAGAGGAGGGAGGAAGGGTGACC